TGATAGCTTTGCTGGGTAGAGTAATCTTGGTTGTAGGTCCTTGCTTTTTATCACTTTGAATATTTCCTGCAAATCCTTTCTGGCCTGCAAATTTCTGTTGAGAAATCAGCAGACAGTCTTATGGGAGCTCCCTTGTAGGATATGTACAATATTACAATAGCTTCAGGTGTACTTCAAAGCTATTCAACAGTACTGCTTTTCTCTTGCTACTTTTAAGATTTTCTCTTTGTCGTTAACACTTGGTATTTTAATTATGATGTGTCTTGGTATGGGCCTCTTTGGGTTCATCTTGTTTGGGACTCTCTGCACTTCCTGAGATTTCTATTTCCTCCACCAGATTAGGGAAGTTTTCTGTCATTATTTCTTCAAATATGTTTTCAATTCCTTGCTCTCTCTCTCTTCTCCTTCTGGTACCCCTATAATACAAATGTTGGTATGCTTCATGTTGTCCCCAAGGCCCCTTAAATCTCCTTAATTTTTTGGATTCTGTTTTCTTTTTGCTGCTCAGATTTGGTGTATTCTGCTACCTTACCTTCTAAATCACTGACTTGATCCTCTGCTATTGATTCCTTGTACTGTATTCTTTATTTCAGTTATTGTATCCTTTATTTCTGACTGGTTCTTTTTCATGTTTTCTATCTCCATTTTTATGTTTCCCATCTCTTTGATGAAGTTCTCCCTGAAATAATTGAGCATCCTTATAGCCAGTGTTTGGAACTCTGCCTCTGGTGGATTGCTTGTCTCCATTTTGTTTAGTTCTTTTTCTGGAGTTTTGTTCTGTTCTTTTATTTGGGATATGTTTCTTTGTCTCCATTTTGGCTGCATCCCTGTGTTTGTTTCCATGTATTAGGTAGGGCTGCTATGTCTCCTGGTCTTAGTAGAGTGGTCTTATGCAGTAGGTGTGCTGTAGGGCTCAGTGGTGCAGTCTTCCTGGTCACCTGAGCCATGCACTTCAGGTGTGTCCCTTGTGTGGGTTTGTGTGCCCTGCTCTTGTAGTTGAGACTTGATTACTGTTTGCATGTTAGTGGGAGGAATTGACCCTTGGGCTCATTGGCTGTGAGGACTGGCCGTGATTACAGTGGAAGAGTTGTGGTATTGGGTCTGACTCTACAGAGCAGGATCTGCCTCAGCAGGGATCTGGTGCCTGCCCAATCCACCCCTGGGGTGCGTTGTCCTTGGAGGTGGCTGGGTGATGCATCAGCTTGTTTCAAACCTAGCCACTGGGGGGTGCCAGCCCCAAGGCTCCCTGGGAGGGTACCTGCTGCAGGTCAAGTTCTCCTGCAGTCCTTTCCTCACCCAGGGCCACTCAGCATGAGCCACACAAAAAAATCTGCAGATGGCTGCCACCCACACTGTGCTTGAAGTGCCTTGAGAGGCCAAGTCTCAAACCAAGGCCTGCTGCCACTAGTGCTGGGCTTAGGGCTGCTCAGCCAGAGGTAGGGGACATGCTCAAGCCAGATGCTGCTTCTCTGGGTTCTGTGAACCTTTGAGAGACCCTAGGAAAGTCTGAAGCATGAGCTAAGGCAGGCTTGGTTTGTAGGAAAAAGCCACTGGGATCCTCTTGGGTGTGCCCAAACGCTGGGTGGGGTGGGTCTCAGCATCACCAGGGTGTGGCAAACTAATGGTGTCAGCCAGCTTAATGGAGACTCGGATATCGTGGCCGCCTGCATCTGCATGCTGGGAAGGGGGAGGGCTCAACAAAGTAACAATGGCTTAGGGGCTGGCTGAGTGGCTCAGTTGGTTAAGAGCTCGCTCAAGAGTTTGAGCTCTGAGCAACAGCAGTTCGAGTCCCAGCCCAAGCTGAGCAGCCGCTGAGCTGCCAACAGGTGGCAGGATGGCTCAGCTAAAAAACAAAAACAAAAAAAATGAAACAATGTCTTCTGCCAGCTCCTCCATCTGGGAGAAAGCTGCCCCTTCAGCCCTTGTCCTGAAGCCAGACAATTCAGTCCCCTCCCACTCACCCCTCCACCATGTCTCTGTCACTTCTCCAACTTCTGTCCCAGCACTGGAGCTCAGAACCAGTGATTCTGTTGGTGAGTAAGTCTGTGCATGGTCCCTTTAAGAGTGCCTGGGAGTGCAACTGCCCTCCATCTCATTTAGCCAAAATCTCTGCTGGTTTTTATAACCAGAAATGATGAGCTCCCTGGCACTGAAACCCTGGGCTGGGAAGGGGCAGGGACCCCTCGCTCCTCAAGGGGGGGGGGAACTCCACAGCTGAGATATCTCTTATGTAGGTGTGGGGCCAGCCCATTCTGCGTCTCTGACCCTCCTACCAGTCTTGAGGTGGCTTCTTCTCTTTGTCCTTAGTCATACGGCTCTGGTTCAGGAGATTTCAGGCAATTCTCACTGATGGTTGTTTTGTAGTTTAGTTGTAATTTTGATGTGGTTGTGAGAGAACATAAGCACAGTGTTTACCTACTCTGCCATCTTGACTGGAATTCCATGTGATGTAATTTATTTTTACATGTGATGTTTATTGCCTGTCTCTTCCTCCTGGTGCCATGGGAGTAGAGATCCTTGTTTCTTGTTCACTGACATATTCAAAGCCTACAATACTAGAAACTTAATATTTACTGAAAGAATGAATCAGTATTCTCCTTTATAAAGGATATTGTCTCCACAACTTTTTATTTTTTATTTTTTTTATTTGCGTGTCATCCTTGCGCAGGGGCCATGCGAATCTTCTCTGTATTGTTCCAATTTTAGTATATGTGCTGCCGAAGCAAGCACCTCCTTAACTTTTTAAAAAAACTCATAAACAAATACATTTCATCTCAATTTCTGATCCATGGCAACATTTTTCTGATATATTCTTTGTTGGTTTTTCTGCTCTTTTCCTCATTTTTGTTAAAGATTTTTATACCAATGTTGTGCGAGTTCTTTTTAACTTATTCATCATTGAATGAGATGGGATTTCTCGGAGCAGTGATTACTCAGTGGCTTGTGCATGTGTGATGAGGTTTTTGTGTGTGTTATGGGGGTTTGTGCATGTTTTATGGGGGTACAGAGTGGTTATGGTGGCCAGGGGTAGCAGAAGGAAGAGCTCGAGTCAAGTTTTAGGCTAGCTGTTTTTTCATTATTTAAAATGTCTCTAGGGCCGGCCGAGTGGCGCGATGGTTAAGAACTGGCTTGGGATGCCAGAGGGCCCCGGTTCGGATCCCACAAATGAGGGCCAGTCACAACTAGACTGAAGAACAAAACGACAGCAACTTGTCTGTTCCCCTTCCCCCAATTCCCCAGCACTGTTCCCAATTCCCCAATTCCCCAATAAAATAAAATTTAAAAAAATCTTAAAATGTCTCTAATTCTGTTACCATGATAGCGTGCTTCCTGCAAACATGGCTTAGCTCTATGCTTCTTTGTTTATGGCCCTGTCTCCTATCCTACTTTGAACCAAATTGGTCCAAGAGGGCTTCCGCTGTCAGCCTTGCTCCCCGGTTTCCGAGGTCCTGCATGTGACTGGCAAACAGAGACTTAGGCTTTTGTGCTTCTGAGTTGTCCCATCACCTCGGGAAGTCCATATTTTTGTGGTGTTTTCTGTGATCTGTCACCACTAGCTAGCTCTTTTGGGCTTCTTTTCCTTTTCATTCTTCCTCCTTAACACCTTCTGCCTGATCTGAGGGGCTTTTAGTAACTCCTAACATGTTTGAAGTCTGCAGATCATATCTGTTCCCTAGTTTTGCCTAAAATGGATTTTGTGGGTTTAAAAATTTCCCCTGTTCTTCCTATCGCTTTTGGTTTCCACAAGAAGTAGAAAATGCTGGCTTAAGCAGCAATGTCAAAAAGTCCTCAAGATTCCAATTTTTAGCTTCTGTCAACATTAACACTGAATTGCACTATATATTGTTTTAACTGTCATAATTAGAGATATAGTTAAATAAATATTATTCTACATACATTTTAAAATCCAGTGTTACAATTTGGTTAATGTCAATTAGATTACAATTAATAAAATTAAAAACTTATACTTCTGTTCTTATCACTAGCACTGAGCCCTAGAGTTAGCCGAATCCCCAAACTGAAAATGCTGCTTCTTTCATATCTTCTCTGAAACTTAAACTAGCATAGCAAGATCATTTAAGTAAAAGTAATCAGATTCTAGTTAAAAGTATACGCAAATGCAAAATCGCATAGCCAGAAAAAGTCAAGGATGAAGTTCAGATCCCCAAGTTTCTGTCTATAAAAAAATATAAATTATTTACAATTGCATTGTAATGGCATCATGATTACAAAAGAAATTATTATCATACATACTAAAATACAAATTAGTGCTCCCACTTACCCGACCGTAATCATAGAATCCATCACTAATTATGTTACTTGATGACAAATGGCCAGTCTGGCTGTATTTCAGAGGCAGGTGGTTATTGAGCAATTTGTTATAAGCTGCTTCACTGAATTTATTTTTTCGACTTACTGATAGATTAACTTCTTCAAGGATATCTAAAGCCCTGTCAATAAAAGCAAAAGGCATTATTTGCTTTGAATACGCATTCCATTAAGATCTCATTTATATACCTTGCTGAGATCCTGAATAAAGGATTGAGATGGAAAGGCTAAAGTTATCCCATCTTTTTAAATAAAGTAATACTGACAGAGTTATGAAGTCAAAGCAGGCCTTTTTTTTTTTTTTTTTAGCTGAGCCACCCTGCCACCTGTTGGCAGCTCAGCTCGGGCCGGGCATCGAACTGCTGTTGCTCAGAGCTCACAATCTTGAGTGAGCTCTTAACCAGCTGAGCCACTTGGCCAGCCCACATATCAGGCCTTTTTAAGAACATATATGTTTTGTGGTAACTCATCTTCAAAGAGTTGAAAAGGACACTTAAAAAAATTCTTCATGTAAAGCAAAATTAGTACCGGACCCCAATTTTGCAGCTAACTAGGCAATATATGAAAAAAATAAAAATGATTAGAAATAAGGTAAGCTTGTCTATGGTACCTAAAAATCCTATTTGCTGATATGCTAAAGGCAACTAACTCCTCTGCTGTGGGTAAGAACTGGTTTGGCGAGGTTGGCCAAGTATGTAATTCTAATGAAAAGGTTTGGGTCAGGGAGGGAGAAAAATGGAGATGGTTGTCATGGCTCACCCAATTTATTTTAGCCTTGAAAGTTGAGAGATAAATGGTATTGTGTTACAATAGTGGAGGAAAACAAAAGAGATGCATTTCTCAAGATGAAAGAGTGGAAATGTTGAAGATGATTTTGTAAAGGTGGTAAGGGAGATCCTTAGGCGGGCAGCACCGGGAAGGACCCCACTTCCATTAGGCAATCCCTTCAGAGGTAAGGCCTGTGCTGTGACACGCAGAGCCACTGAACACTCTGCAGACTGAGAGGGGGACTGTAGACTCTGCTTGATCCTCCTTGGTCTGAAGATTGTGCTGCTTCATCTTCCGCTTTTCATCCGAGCCAGAAACTGGAGACAGTTCTACTCACCCAAAGCTGCATAATTCAGTGGCCATCAGCTCATCACTGGCACAGACCATTACAGCCCAGCTGGCGTGCCTTCTGACTTCATCATTCTTTGAGCGCAGAAGCTCCACGAGGGGCTCCAATCCACCTGCATTTCTTAACTGAAAGTAGAAACCAACATTTTACGCATTAGGAGTACAGAATATAAACATCATGCTTCAAAAAAATCTCATTATTAGATTGTTTAAAGAAAGGTTGTACCTATGTAAAAACATTTTACAATGTGTCCATATTTAGATTTATTAAATTCAGGGGGGAAAAAAATGGAAAACCCTTACAGACAGGAGCCCAGCTTTCCATTCAAAGTCAAGAAAATGAGACAGTAAAGTAATTGAGGGAGGTCATTGAGATTTTGCACAGGGTGGGGACTGTTGAAAAACCACCTTCTCACTGCCTGCAAGTGAGATGTCCTGTGTTTATTCACTCGGCTCCTCAATGCTGAGTGTGCATTTGGCCCAGAGGTGGACAGAAGACTGGTCCCCCAAAGATGTTCTTGATCCTAAAAGGGATTTTGCCATTGTGGTTAAGTCAAGGAATTGAGATGGGGAGATTATCCTGGATTATCAGATGGGCCCGCTGTAATCACAAGCGTCCTTAAAAAAGGGAGACAAGAGTGTCAGGAGCAGAGAAAGGAGACATGTGGAAGTAGAAGTTGGAGTGATGGAGGAAGGGGCCATAGCCCGGGAACGCAGCTGCTGGTCAAAGCTAGAAATGGCCAGGAATTGGGTTTTCCCCTAATGTCTCCAGAAGGATCACAGCTCTGCCAACACTTTGATTTTAGTCCATAAGATCCATTTTCAGATTTCTGACTTCCCAAACTGTAAAATAGTGGATTGTATTGCTTTAAGTCACTAAGTTGTGGTGATTTGTTAAAGCAGCAATAGGAAAGTAAAACAGTCCCCAAGTCTGGGCAGGAGGAACCAATGCAGACAAGTGCCACCTGTGTCACTGGACGTTGCCACCAACACAGCAGTGTGGCCAAAGCAATACTGAAGCAGTTCCCTAGAAAGAGAGCCATTTTTGTTATCCTTTCACAGTGTCTTCTCTTTGTTTCTCCAAAAAGTGAAAAAGAAGAGAATTGGACAGAATCACATTAATTCTATTAAAAGAAATTACTCATGTATAAAGTTATTCCAACCAGAAAAAAAAGATTTGACAGAGCTCTTGTGTCACTGTATGAAATGCAATATGCCATTATCTGAGCCTGGAGAACAAAAAGAATATTCTGCTGATCTGTATGTGTGGAACCTGAAGACAACAGCCTTAGGGGATATGATCTACTTTCAATCATTTTCTTCTCAAACACAGGGACTCTGGCAGGGACTACGAGTACGTGTCAACCAATGTAACTTGGGCAACTAGAAAAATTTCCTGAGACATCTTAGGCTTAGCATGACAAATTTCTGAACATCTTTATTTCTGAGTATAACACAAGATAATAATCTAAGTCCATGCATTCTTTTGGCAAAGATCTAACTCATTTCTTAATCCCTCCATTCATTCCTCCCTTCGGTCATTCATTTCATTTACTCATTCATTTAAGAACTGTTTGCTAAGCATATGCTGTGTGCCAGCTGTGTGTTCGTGACATGGACACAGGGAACTCTCCGTCCCTTTTCCTAAAGGACCTTATTAGAGCCTTTCATACAAGAACCACATAATGTGAAACGGAGGGTAACGGAGGCCTGCATGGGGTATAATTGGAGCAAGAGGGGGAAGCACCCAAGTTTTGGACAGGATGGGCTGAGCTGGGTTTTGAAGGAGAAACAGGAGTTTATCAGGTTGACAACAGTGAGACTAGCTTCCCACGCAGAGAAATCAAGGAAGTAAAGTAAGAGAACAGAGCATATTAACGAATTACAAATAGTATGGTATTTCTAGAGTAGAGGGCTCCACCTGGGAGGAGATTCAGGCTTACGTAGGCAGGTATGGGATACTGAGGGCCCTTACATATCACGTGAGCAGCTTAACTTTTACCATGGGGTAATGGCACGCCACCGGGAACTCGCAATGGTGTGATGAAGATCAGTCTGAAGGCAATGCGGGAAATAGGAGGTGGCAGGGGTAGGGAAGGCATTAAAGCATCAACTGCAATATTCCAAGAAATAGATGGACTACTCTGCAAGGTGAATAGGGGTATGACCAAGGCACTTTTGTCTATCACTGTGTCCCCAATGCTTAGCATGGTGAGTGCCACACAAGTAAATATTTGGTGACTATCTTACTACCTTAATGGGTGAATACAAATGAACTGAGTCAGTGGGCACAAAGAAGGGGGATAGAATAGATATCTAAAAGAGAGAAGAGGAACGATTTGGTAGTTGTCTGAGCAGATAGCACAGGGTGAGAGCATGGGCTCTGGACTCAGGAAGATGTGTTTTCATAGCCCTGATCTACCACTTATTAACTTGGCTTGGAGAACATTATTTCTTTAAGCCTCATTGTCCTCATAAGTAAAATGGGGGTTACAAATATGCTTATTTCCAGTGGGGTTTAAATGAATGTAAAGTGCTTAGTAGAATGCCTGGCACATAGTAAGTTCTCAATAAATGTTGGCGATTGTCTCTTATATTGAGGAGAGGAACAAAGTCCTACACTGTTTGAATGAACGCCATGGTGACAAATGAGTATGAGAAAAGAAAAAGATAAAGGGACGTTTGTAGGATTATTTTAAATCTGTATGAAGACTTTATAAGACCAACTACAAGTACCAAATACTTTTATGTAATGGTCTTATAAAAAATGCAATTCTAGGTTTTGAAATATAAGAGACACAAAAGCATATGTGTAACCCATATGTATAATTTCAAGAATCAGAGTAAAAGGCACATCTGTTTGTCTACCACCCAGCTTAAGAAATAGCACATTGCAATGACCTTGAACCACCCTGTGTGCGCCTCTGAATCATATCCACATCCTTAATCCCTCAAGAGGAAAGCACTTTCTTGAAGTTGGCATTAATCATTATCTCAGTTTTCTTTATAGTTTTAACTTATATGAATGTATGCCCAAACAACCTTTTTCTTAGCTTTGTATATTTCTGAATGTTTACATCAATGGAATCATAAGATACGTTCTTCCGCAACTGGATTTTGCTCAGCATAAAGCTTGTTGAGGTTCATCTCTGCTGATGTCTGTAGCTGTAGTTTGTTCATTTTTACTGATGTGAGATTCCATTTTATGAATATACCATAATTTATCTGTTCTCTTAACAACTGGACAATTAGTTTGCTTCCAGTTGTTTAGATATTATAAACAATGCTTCCTGGAGCACAGAAGCAAGAGATTATCTTAGAACTGCTGGTTTACAGGGTGTGCTCACCTTCTTTGCTAGATAATGACCATTTGTTTTCCAAAGCATTGCACCAGTTTTGAAGGACTTAAATCATGGGTCTGTTCAAACCCTTGAAAATATTTCAAATGAATCCACCCATACGTACAGACCAGAAAAATGAGAGCAAATGTTATTAAAATCCTCACCTCTGTCCTGGCCTCAACATCACACGCGGTTGCAGCGATGGTGAGGGCAGCTTTGCTCTGCACCACAGTGTTGGCAGAACGCAGTGGGTTGATGAGGGCGCGCATGATGTCATGATTCTGAATGTTTACACGCAGTGCCTCCTGCATCGCCATGTTTGTTAATACCGTGGCAGCGCTGGCAATGGCTCCATCTCGTTTACTGGACAGGATGTTTATCAATGGATCAATGCCATCAGCCTCGGCAGCAGCACTGGGTTAATTTAGGAGAAATGAGTGTCATTCATTCAAGTTCGAGAAATGATCTTTGGCGAGCACAACTGAGCTTATAAAACAAATGAGTACATAAATACAGTTTTAGAAATAAATTAATCTACAATGCGATGAGTCCAGAATTGAGGCACTAGTGATTTAAATGCAGTCTGGGGGAAATGTCCGGTATGAATGAATTTAATCCTTTTCCTACATCTACAGCCTTTGGTTATAGAAAAATGTGTGACTGCTTCTTAGAAACCCTTCTACATCCGTTCATTTTTTAAATCAGTGGTACTTATCAGACCAGAAAATTCTATTCAAAAACAGTCTATTACAATAGTCCTAACCAGTAAAGAAAAACAAAGCTTTAAATAGCAAGAATGAGTGAGCATGGGAACTCTTGGTTAAGTTAAAATTCTTTAGCCCGTCTTCCCCTTTTTCAAATTATGTTGTTAATGGTAGGCAGAATTTAACACATTTGAAGGCAGCAAATCATTTTGCATGTAAATGTTGCTTTTACAAGTTAGACATCAAAAATCAAAGTCATGATATTGACAAATATATAATTTTAGTAACGTAGGCATATTCATTCGGTTGTTAAATTTTCTATTTCTAGTATAAAAAGAATACAGTTATCCATTAACATATTAACATTTCCTCATAATTAGAAAGCCTAAATTTCCTTTTAAGAACAACATATTACTTTCTATAGTTCTTCCTTTGTCAATACTTAAAAACCTCATACAATAGTGAAAATAAAAAAGATCATTTTAATCAGTGGAAGATGATTTCTCTATGTGTTGTAATGTTTGGAAAGGCTTCAAATAAGAGATGTTCCAAACAATAAGATATATAGAGCACCATGTTTTAAAGGACAACTCAAAATTATGTGTTAAAAATTCATTTACATCATCATGGGAATAGAAGTTATCAAGAATAAAAGCATACTTAAGGCTCCAATAATATCAACATCTCTTTTAAGTTTATATTTGACACATTTTTTTCATTTAGGATATTAACCAAAATTTAAAAAAAAAGTGAAGCTATATGATTTAGCCCATCACCCTATATTCTGAAGAGTTAAATTTAATTTGGTACTGTCACATTTGCTGATGGTGAAGGAGAACTGACAACCTCAAGAGTAGAAGTTATCACAATTGTCCCTCAAAGAGAGAAAACAAAATCTTGGTAAAGACCGGTAGCTCTAGGTGAAAGGAAGTTGTGATTGTGAGACAACCCAGCTCTGAAGGAGCCTGAACAGCAGGAACTGGGCAGGAGCAAAAGGACTAGAGGTGGCAGCTATGGAGAATGAAGGGCTTGGTTGGTGTTAACTCTCAAGGCACCTCCCAGCCCTGGCTCGTATAAATCTGTCCAGAAAATACCATACTGATACCGAGGCAAGGTCAGCGCCTTGTCCCGTTTCTCCCATACTTGGTGTATATTTAACCCACTAGGAAGGCATCCCTTAAAACTAAAATTTGGTTAGATGACATGTAACCAAAATTTATTAATATAAAAATATTGGGAGGAAGGCCCTACATCTCACTATAATAACCTGAGGGACAGCATTTAATCTCCTTTCCTAGGGGATAAAATAAACACTTCTAAGATAATTTCACGTTTGATTCTCTCCTATTATTAGTTGACATGGTGGTCATTTGATTTTATGAGAAAGGGAAAATTTGGGGGCTCTCATATATTTGTTTATCAGAAACTTCTCATGTTCAACTTACAGTTGAAACACAGAATTAAAAAAACATGACTGCCAGCAAGAATTTTAATTTATGCATATGCTCTAATTAATATATATTTTAACTTTTTCAAAAATCATTTTTTCCCTTTGATTTATTTTCAGGCACTTAATGCAATCAGATCCTTAAACCAAATACGTTGTAGTTTTTAATCATTATAAACATGCCTCAGCTAAAATACATGAATCCTTTGTCACTTAGTGGTTTTTCCTTTGACAATCAATGTTCACTTTTTAAAACATATTGGAGAATAAAGAAACAGCACACAGTGGAGGTATTTCAGTGGCATCCATGACAGAAGCCAGAAGTATATTAGGTAAACGCATATCAATAAATTCTCAAAGGCCTTGTCTTTTGTGTGTATCAGGGAGCTTTTAGAAAATTTAGGTGAGTATATAGGGTCATGCTGTATCGTTTTAGTTTCTCTTGTTTATATAAAAAAAAAAGCGATCATGGAGATACAAGGAGTTTCATCAGGTGTGCCTCTGCTCACAGCCTGTTTGGGTTTTGCCTCTTCCTTTCTTCTGTGCAACGTCATATTTGGCCTTGGTTCATTTATAATCCATGTTCTGCTCTTTTCTTTGCTCCTTATGGAAGCAGTAAAGGGAAGCACATAAAAACCTAGCTGTTTAAAAAAACAAAGACTCTAGGACACAGTGGAATATAGCTTTTACTAAATTGAACATAACTGCCAGCACAGAAAGACAAATCATACACGCACAGCTGGGAGAACCACTCTCGTGATAGGTACGTATCTGCCCATAATTTATGTGCAGCTCTGTTTAAGTGTAAAAAAACATCACTGAGATGAAATTATTATGGTAAAAACTCAAGCTATTATTCTTACCTAAAAAAACCTAATTTCAATTATAAAAAGAATGCAGAACTTGTACTTCTTAAAAAGACTTGCATTAATTTTGTGCCTTTCAAACCCAAGACATTCTGTTTTCTTTTTCCCTGTCATATATACACAAGCTGAAGCCTGTCATATTTTAAAACACATTTCAGTTTCCTAAATAGTGCAGCATTATCCAAATGAATGGGACGGAAGTCAAACTGCTTTGTTACAAAATCCAGAATTATAGGGCCATATGTCATCACAATAATCTGAAAATATTTTCTGATATTTACTATCATTAGTCTCCATCCAATTGGAGTTTAATCAAGTAAGAGTGTAAAATGTAAATTGAACAAAGAACCAAGCTAAACACCAACAAAGGAAGTGTATACAAACATGTTTATTTCATTTGATATATGTATAAAGAAGTGAGGTTTGATACGTCATGTGCATCCGGTCTATTACCAAGTCCTGACTGTTTTCCTCCTCCATATTTCTCAAATTTCTCCCTTTTCTCCATCTCAGTCTCTCTCACTGAATCCAATCCAACATCCTCTCTTGTGGGTTGGTATAAATATTCTCCTGACAGATCTCTCCTCTTCCCCTCCAGTCCTTTCTCCATCTTAACAGCTAAAATGATCTTTTAAAATGATAAATATAATCATATTGCTCCACTAGTTAGAACTTTGATGGTTTCCCATTGCTTTGATGAGGCCCCAGATTTCTCACATGGCCTTGTGACCCTGTGGGAGCAGAGCCTGCCTCCCTCCCCTGCCTCCCTGCCCACCACCCCTTCTGGCTGCTCTGTGCTCTGGGCCTTTCTGACAACCTGCAATGTGGCAGGCTTTGTCTCAACTCAGGGTGTTTTCGTATGTTGTTCCCTCTTCCTGACATGCTCTTCCCCCTGGGTATTCCCATTCGTCTTTCAAGGGTCAGTACAAATGTCTCTTCCTCAAGAAAAGATTTCTTGATCCTAAAACTAGGTTCTCTTTTTAACACGAGCTCAGAGCACTTGTTTGCTAAACACATATACACTTCTTTTTGTTTAAAAAAGTGATGTTTGGCACAAATGTTCACAATCAGGGAACAGTAGCAATCTTGAAATAGTATTTTACAGCACTTGTTATGAAAAGGAATTCAGCACAAAGTGTTTCATGTAAGTTCAAGCCCCACTATGAAAAGGCACTTGCAGCATGGCCACTAAGAACATAATTAAGGAAAAGTTCAATTACACAAATAGTATCTATTTTCAGTTCACTGAAAAGACTGTGCGATTTCATGTCTGCTTGCCTTTGTGCTCATGTTCCCTTTGCCCCAAACACCCTTCCCTATCCCTCCTGCACCCCTGCCTGAGGAACTCTAGTTCATCCTTCAAAACCTGCTCTACCATCTCTTCCTCTGCAGAGCCATCTGTGACCATCACTACCCCTCCTTGTTGATCACTCACTCCCTCCTCTTTTCTATGTCTGCACCTGGTAGTGTTTAAGTCTTATTTATAGCTCCAGTACTGACAAGATCACTATATTTGAATTGGCTTCAATCAACTCAAAGTGAGTGATGAAGAAAACTTCTGTGGGTATCGGGAGGGGATGAGGGAAAAGTACTTGGCTCAGCTTTAAGTTTGCAAGAGGGGAAAGGACCCACAGGTGGGATGTCCACCTGTGTTCTTGAAATCAGGCTATTTCCTCCCCACCCCCAATGCTTCTGTAATTATATAGTGAAATAATTTTTATATGGAGTTTATCTTGCACTTTGGAAAACTTCTTTGGAAAACTCCATTTTACTCATATATATCAAGTGGTGTCTCTATTTTGTCTTTGCAGACATCGTTGACTATGTTGGTTGTGTTATCAGATGACATTATTTGGTACCTCTCAGAATTTGATCCTTGCTGCAGTTTCAAGGTTCCCATTTAACACATCTGCAAAGTCTAGTTCCATGAATCAAGGGTGACCTTGGGCGGTATGAAAATCTGTTTAACAGAGCCCACATACAGGGTAATATGCGGAACCTGATGGAACAGATGGTAATATTGGCAATCAGAACCTTGTTTGTTAACAGTGATTGCAACCATTCCCACCAGCATGACTTTTCATATGTCTCTGTGAGTTTTGTCACACCAAGGAAGACATATTGGCAGCAGACACACTGCAAGTGGTCAGAAGAGGTGCATATGTCGCAGTGACTCCAGGTTGGCGTGTCTAAGCCTTGTAGGCTCCGGGTGAGTCTATACAGGTGTGTGGGGGTGGAACGCTTGCCATTATGAGAAACAGGTTTCCTGGCTATCACAGCCAGACTTGGAATGCTGTGAACAGGATTCCTGACTCTTGCTGCAGCCAGTTTTTCAACAAAGGTAATGACCCAAGATGTCGAGTGTTTGTTAATTGATCAATTTCTGACCAAAACAGC